TTCCTGCTTGGCCTGTAGGTAACTAAAAAGAGTAACAGTAACATTAGTGAGAAGGATTAACTGTAAGGAAAACGAGTAGTGCTATCAGACTCAGATCTTAGTTTGATTGCACGTATAAAAAATGAGCTAATGCCATTCATTTTCATGGCATGTGACCGGAGTAAAATAATGCTAATTAAGGCCATATTATACCTAACGGGGAAGAAAGTACGTATTAGAGGTAGGAATTATTCTGCTAACTCTGTTCACGTACACAATATTCTGTCATGTTGAACTCGACAGATTGGGAAACTGTACAGTGAACTGGATATGGCAAAAATGAATGTGAAAGTCATGTCATCAATATTAAAAGAAAATGTTCCTGGCTCTGAAAATCCGGATGATATGAATCTTTTACAGGTATGTAGTAATTAATTGTCAGGGGCTATTGGTTTGATTTGCTCAAAGTTGATTTCAAAATATCTTGTATCCTTTCTTTTAACATCTGGATTCAGGTTTCCAAATTGAATCCAACGACAGGTTTCTATCTCTTTTTTCTCAGCTTTCTCTTGTCTCCTTCACCTTCCCCTGACATCTAGATAGTCAGGAAAGGGCAATACAGATTGCAATGCAAATTTAAACTCTAGGGAATTCCAAGGGCAGAGGAATTTCATAATGGAGTGTTCTCTTTTGAGCATGTTCTGTCGAACAGCCCTGAGAACATTCCATTTGAACGCAGTTGCCTTGTGGGAAAATAGATGATGACACAGTCTCTCTCTCGTACCTGTCCTGGAGTTTTCAGTGCTCTCTTTTATTATTACCAGTACCTTAAAGGCAGACTGAAGGCCAGTGAAGAATATGAAGCATTGGTTTTATGTGTGTGACCTCAAAGATTGGGAGCTTGCTGTGCTGTAGGTGAATCCATGTGCTTTTTAAAGTGTAGCCTGAAGGAAGTGTATCGCAATAGTCCAGTTTAGATTTGACAGTGAACATGCAGACATTCTTCTCTCTGTGATGGAATTTCTTCTGCTTGCTCATGCTGTATTTTCTGTTTTAGAAACTAGAAATGCAGTATTACTTTAGGATTTCAATAGTGACCTATGTCAATGGACATTTTCTGCTTCTATTGTCTGCAAGAATTCAAAAATCTTTTATTACATACTTCTGTTTCTGAACTTAACCTCCAAACTTCTATGATGAAGAAGCGTTTTTGGTAATTAGTCAGCATTAAGTGTGTTGGAGAACTGATCTAATTTTTGCAAGCCTTCGATGGGCTTCTCTTGTGCAGTGGACAATTTTTTCTTTGCAAGGAACCCTTACTGGGTGCTGTTGGTTTGCCTTCAAGGTCGTGCTGTTCAGCTGTGTCCATTTATGGATTGGTTCACAACTGGAAGTGAGAGATGGAGAGGTGGCAGCAGTTTGCCACTCTCTTGTCTTCGGTGACGGGCAGCACTGGTGGTCTGAGGGAACCAGAGAGGAGACAGACATGATCTCAGGGATTTTTGCTCCCCTGGAAATTCCTTGCATCTCCAAAACTGTCTCTCTTGCAGAGATTTGTGGAGCTACAAATCCAAGGAGGAAGGGTCTGTGAAGCAAGGCCCTGAGCAGAGTAGACTTTCAACATGGGCAAACAGCTGTTGCGATGGATTGCAGAGGGCTTGTTTTCCCTGCACTGAGGTGTTGAGTATAGGTTGTTCCAGTGATGGACACCACCTAAGCAGCTAATCTATGGCTGTTCTGTGCACGATACTTCACTTCTCTAGTGCTGCAGCCGCCAGAGAGATTGCCAAGGTGCTGCCTGGCCTTGATTTAACCAACCAGTGAAAGAAACCCAGGTAGGAGAATACACTGGTTTAATATGCTTGGCCATCCCTGTCCAGTCCACAGCAAGGGAAGCGTTACTGGTTGCAAGGCAGGAAAGGTATGTCTTTCATTTCCTGTCTCCTGCTATGGCCCTTCTGCATGTGGGAGCACAGATGAGGTTGCCCACAGTAAACCAGTGGATTCTTATTGACACTCCCAGTAATAAAATTGTTGGCAAAACTTTGAGGACAGGGTGTGGAGTTCCCATTTGTGGGAGAGTGACTAAAAACTCATTCCTTCTATGTTAATTTCACTGTTGTTCTTTCTATTCTTTTCCCCTGTGCATCGAATGGTGTAAAGCATTAAGCATGGGTAGCCCATTCCTTTAACAATGTTTAATGTTACCTTTTGTTTGTGAATCTACTTGGATTGTTTGGATTAGACTTGTGTTGTCAGAGAACAAAGTCCTTTATTAAAAGAGCTGCTTGTTTAGGCTTGGAGTGAGTTGGAGACATTATTTCAGTCCTTCTCATTATCTGGAATCTCTCAATAAAAACTATAACAGGGTGAACTTTATCAGTCTAACATATTTTCGGTTCTGTTGCTTCATTAGTGGTTAGGCTCCTCCCTTTCTCCACCCTGTTTTGGACAAGATTTAAGATAGCAGATCTCACTTGAAATACTGCACTGACCAGTGACAGTAGTTAAAGAACAGCTAAAGCTCAGTGTCAGCCAAAAAAGCGAAAAACTTTTGTACTGGATAGTGAATAGACGTACTTGATGGACACGCAGGAATTTGGATCGAGATCATCAGCTGGTAAGAATTAGCACAAATTCATTGGAATCACTGGTGATGGTTATACCAGCTGGAAGTCCCTCATTTTTAAGTTCCAGTTTTCAAAACATAAAAGTGCATGCATCATTGTGGGTAGGAGCAAAACCTAGCAAATCTGTGCTTGAAATGAGCATCTCAGTTTCCTTCTTTATTGAATGATGATATTTACAAAGGAGGGTTGGTCTGCTATGGAGTCATAAGAAATAAATAGTTTTTTTAAATTGCAGACGAGGTAGTAAGTGTGGAGTTGGAGAGGTTTTAAATTTAATTACAGACATTAAACCAAATACATTTTTGTGTGTTTTATCCTGGGCTATAAAGATACAGTTCTGGAAGGTACAGTGCTCTGTAATCCTTTTGCAGATTTGGCAAAGAGGTGCAGAATTTCTTCTTACAGAAATAAAATCATTTATTTACATGAAATATATGGTTTTTTGAGGAAAAATCAGATCACTTTGAAAATAATACCAGAGCAATTTCTGAATAGCAGTGTGCAAATAGAGTCATTTTCCCTCTCCTTTTTTTTTTTTTTTTCCTTTAAGCAGATCCAGCCAGCATTTGCAAATGCAATGTGGAGAGAAAAAAAAAAATGTTGGCTGAGTTGAAGATCGTGTTACTAAAGAATTTGTTTCTTTGAACATGCAAAATCTGCAGTGGAGAGGAATATAAATAAACTTCCTTTTCTACTGGCAGTGGTGCAAAATTCTTCTCAATAAACTCTCATAAATCTCCAACCAGCTAATTCTACTAGGTTTGTGTATCTTTCTCAAAAAGTGCAGAGATTAAGTGTGTCCAAACTTCCCCACTTAGAGGGTTAGAGACTTGTGTCACACAGCACTTCTGTCATTTAGACTGCTGTTGGCTTTTCTTCAAGCAGACGTGGAACAGGATCACATCCATTACGTCATGTGAAGTATCCTGCTGAGTTTAATCAGCTTCAAACAGGATCAAATCAAATTTGCTCTGCATCACCCAGAGAGGTCCCCATTATTTTGCAATTTGTAGTTAAGACTTTAGAGACAGATATATCTTTAGAAACAGAGGTGAGTCAAGAGGTAGGGATAGGGTAGGGGTAGAAGCGCTGGCTGTGATGATAGGAGTTGTCAGCCTGCCTTGCAGAGATCAAAGACATGAAAATTATGCTATTTGCAACGTTTGGTATGCGTGCGGTTTGTATAAATGAAGGAATGTTACCCATGAGTCTGCAGCACTCAAATGTCATATTGTTCTTCTCCAAAACTGACAAACTGGGAGACCACAGTTACAATTTGTGGGGTTTTTTTTCTTCCCCCTGCCTTGAGCAGAAACTGTATAAGACCTGTCGGATGATGCAGGAGAGGATCATGGAATTGTTGGTGACAGTGGAGAATGAAGATGTGATAGTTGAGTTAATACAAGTAAATGAAGATCTGAATAATGTCCTCCTGGGACACGAAAGGTAAGTACAGGGCCTCTCTCCTGACATTTGGTATCCTAATCGAGTGAGCGCGCTTAATGGACACAGATGGTCCCTACATCTAGTGTTGATCCTCCACAAGGATACAGGTTTTATCCTTAAATCCAGAAAAGCAACATGATTGCAAAAGAGAAAATTATGTATTTTCTTCAGAAATGGTTCACAAAGGTAGTTAGAAAACCATTAGAATGGGATAAAACAAGTTAACAGCATAGACAGGGAAATCGGATGGAGGCACATAAGCAAAAATCACTCTGGAATTTGACATTCCTTTTTGGTAGTGCACAGTGAATTATCATCAGTCTGCTACAGACCCTCTGGTACTGGTGATGGTCCTTATCTCTGTTAAGTGTATATGCTTCCAGGAAACAATACTTGTTCTCCTTTCTAAACAACTTTAACAGCTTTACTGCAGAAATTGGCCATGGAAATTGTGCCTCATGGCATGCTTGAGGAGTCACTTGCTTTTCTCATCTGGATTGAAAAATGCTGTTGTACTTGTCTTCCAGCAGAATATGTTTGTTTCTTTCACACATGGAAGCACTGCAGTGCTTGCATTGGCATGCTGCGCATTTGTTATATCATTGGTAGCATGGCTAGATGCTAGCAAAACTGAAATTAATTTTAAACTCAAAATTCTAGAATTATCCCCCAAAACATCACAGCAAGTATATTCATGGAGAGTATTCCATGTTTAGTAGTTTATCTCATCCATGGCTAAGAAATGTTCAGGAAATCATTGTGCATCAAGTGCAGTGGTTCATGATTAAATTTAGCAGATTTAAAGAGTTTAGTCATGTTTTCTTTTTAAACATCTTCAGAATGCTGTACTGAAAATGTCACTAATTTTTATAAGTGTCATGGCACAAACTTTGGGCCTAATCTTGACAAGACTTGTTTTCATTTATCTTTAAATCTTATGTCTACAGCAGTGCTAGCATGTTTTACAGTAACTGCCTTGAAAGAATTGTGTAACTTGCTTCTTGCATTAGGAAATTTTTAATTTTAGTAAAGCAAAAATAGAATTCTGTTCTGCTTCTGTAAATCCACTCAAGTCAGATGTGGGGTTACATTTTTGTTACGACTGATGGGTACTGGCAAGGCCAAGAACCTCTTGAACCTTGAATGGGTAGCTTGTGGGTATAATTCAATAAATTCCTTATAAAAGACTCACCTGGTGATTGAAGGAGCAGTTAATTGGCCATTGTGACACTGGACAGAAAATGACTGCGTTTTAGTACTGTAAAGTTATGGTTTATGTTATGAGTGTAGATGCATTGCACTTTAGAGTTGATAAGGATTAAAATGTATTTGGTTAATGTTTGTTGCAGAAGACCTGTTCTTTGGAACTCCCTCTGAAAAATGAGATGTGTAAAGGACAAACTGATTTTAACTAGCTGCATCTGTCTGACACTGTGTGTGTTGTTTGCTGCATTCTCCGTTTCTGATGTTAACGCAGAGCCCAAATTAAATCGGGAGCAATCACCATTGTGCAATAAACCGGCCTCATGGATGTAATCATGACTCCCTCTAGTGGCTCTACCAACTTTTCGGTTCTTCCTGGTTTTCAGATAAATATTTATGTTCTGCAGTTGGAAAGGTTTTTTTTCTTCTGTTCCTTCCTGTGTATGTACTATCTTTGTGGGCCTCACCAGTATGGTAACCCTGAATAGCAGATGCAGTTGCGTAGACAGCCTCATGTCCTTTCATTGACCATATAGATGCTGAATATCACTTGACTGGGTCTCCTCTGGACCCAGTGTAGCACTCTTACGACTCCCAGTACATACATATTTATGCAGGTAGATTTTCTGGTTTCCTTTTTAAAAAAAAATATTTTTTATAATGAGAGGGCTGTGTTCCAAAACAAGTGTGTGGTGTGTACTGAGATAGCATAAGGGAACATGGGGACTTCTTGGAAAGAAGGCTTCCTGGGACTCAGTTGGAAGAGTATTCTGGTCAGGAGCCAGATTTGGCACAGTCCATGTTCATGGTTACCTGTCTGGCATGAACAGAGGCAAACTTCATTGTCAGCTGTGCCCTGTTTTCTTTCGGAAGAAACAGATGGCTGTCTCCAAAAGTGGGCCCAAGAACAGACTAACTGGTGTTTAGTATAGGTCATTGGACGGCCACAGCCCTGGCAAAGAGGGAGTCAAACAGCTACTGCAGAGAGAAGTGCCCCGAAGAAGAGACCTGTAGTGCTTGTTTGGTGCCTCTGGAGGCTTTTGATAATCAAACTTTGATGATAACTGGTTTCATATTCTTACGAATGACGTCACAGAAATGTCAGAATGAACATTTAACTCCGAAACTCCAACAGGTTCTCTCGGAACAGAGTTCGGTTTTTGGAGAATCAGAGAATACGACGTGAACGCACAGAGGTGAGTAATTGTAGATGAATTCGTGAACTGCAGGACTATACATTCCTTTTTCTGTTCATTGTGAAAAATACACTTTTGATATACACAGAATTTTGTTCTCTAGTTGAGAGGCCCAGGAGACAGCAGGCTTACGTTACTCTTTACTGATTTTGTAAAGTCTCCTTGCAGAATTTCATGTAAATTCATGTAACTAAAGTAGCAAATAATGTCAAATCTAAGATTGAAGCTTGGTCAGGAAAAATGAGAGAGAAGGAGAAATGTATTCAAATGTTGGTTTATTACCTCTACAGCTAAGCACTATTATCTGCCATATACAAAATGAGGAACCATAATGTTTCTTTTCATTTGTTACCTGCCTAAGCATTTATAGGCTGAAATACTTACACTATCAGAATCCACTAGTACTGATGTTTTTTTCTGAGTCAGAGCTTTTTCTGAATTGTGAATAATGACTTGTAGCAAATCTTTAATGATTATCTTTTATAGATTGATAATTATGGTTGTTAATTATATTGGCCAAAGCAGTTTTGCACGTGTTTCAACTTCTGCTAAGCCATAATTGTGTAGTCGTCTAGGACTCAATATGAAAATGACTGCATTGTGAATGCTGAAATACAGCTGACAATTATTTAAAAAAAAAAAAAGTGGAAGATGATCTTGTTTTCCTTGAAAAGCTGCTATTGCTACATTCTGGTTATATAGGTGGATGGTTGTATTTAATGGATGCACTGTTGGACGAGTTAATAGTCCAAATGGTGCAGTCTGTGAATTTTTATATTACTCAGGAGCCTCCAAGTTTAAGATGCATCATCTTTTACTTTTTTAATTATTTTTTTTACTCTGGTGTGAACAACACATAGGATTCAAACATGTGGTTTTATTAAAATCTTTGATTGGCTACGTTTTTAATTCTAACATGTTCACAGGAGAAACAAAGGGAACTCTTTTCTGTGTCTTAGTGAACGTTGTGATTTTGAACTTTTCCTATCCAAAACAGGACTGAAAAAAAACAATCTCCTAAGTATGTATCAAATCTTAATAACATAAATAAGTAGCCTGAAAATAATTGTACAGGAACAATCAGATTGATATCAAACCTGTATCTAAAGAAGCTCATGATTGCTTTTTAGAATTGAGTCCATTCTATTTCTTACTTCGGAATTGTTTTCCTTAATTTTTTGAAATAGCAACCTTGCTGAAACTGATCTTTTTTGGAAAGCGTTTTTTGTTTCATGACCTATCTTACACACACGAAAAATAAATCCTGCTTTTGTCTCGTACTCGCCAATTTTTAATATTGTGATTTTTTTAAAAAGTTTATATTCTGTGAAAATAGCAATTTGTTTAAAACTATACAAGTTCCTTTTTCAAAACAGGAGTTTTTGAACAAAACAAAAACACGAAAAAAAAAATCTTTTTCTTTTCAAATGTTAAGCTGTACAGGAAACAGCCATCTGCTCCCTCAAGTGATCTACTTGACCTGTCGGTAGATTCTCCATCTCCTGTGTCAACAGTGGTGCAAACTGACTCTGCAGTGTCTCCTTCAGGCCGCAGTAAGTGATGGACGCACGTTCCCCTTGCAGTCTGGTTGCCTAAACAAACCAAGGGCTTAGTGGAGGAATCAGGAAGCTCCTCGTGAGAAAGAAAACAAAGATGCTCCTTAACTTTAAGGATGCTGCTTAAATCTTCTTGAAAGGAGAGCTGATGTTTGTACATAGGAACAAAATATAAGATAGTAGAAGGTTCCCTGTGGTTTGTTTACAGTGGAAGCAATAATCTTTTTTTTCCCCCCATTACTTAAATTTGAACAGTAGAACACGCTGTTTTCTGTTACAGTGAAGCCTGTAAGCCACTGTGGTAGTTGCCTGTTCTGTAGGCTTGGGAGAAAGAAACACACATCTGCTTTTCTCATACCCTCTTGATTTCCTAAGTTTTTTTGGGAGGCACTTGGTGTTAGAAACAGTTCACTTTGAGAAAGGTGCTCATCGCCTCTAACTTTAGACTTCTTTCATAGTCAGAGGAGCGAGTAAAGCTCCTGACTTTGGTACATTGAACTACTGTTTGCAGAAGCCTCCCCTTTATCCTCTCTAGGGGAGTCCGTGTGCTGAAGCTAAAGGCATGAAGGCCCCCCCCAGGCATAAATGCCTATCATTCCATTTTAATCTTTTAGAAATAGTGAAAGAAGTTTTAGGTGGTATCTACCATGTATTGCACTATCGATGTTGTTCTGACATTTTAAGGAGATAAATATATTGCATCTAAAACCTTCTCAGAGTTATTAAAAGTTTGCCTTTCATGTGATAAACAGCAATTACTTTCAAATTCATTTTGGATTCTTTATATGCCCTCCAAACAAAACTTTACCCTTTCAATGTTCATAGTACAAGTAACTAACATTTGCTTAATAATGTTTAAATGATCATTAATTATCACTTTGAATTTCAGATTGCGTATCTGCACACCCTGAAGATAAAAACAGTCATCATCCATCAATTTATCCACAGCTTGATTTAACAACTACTACAAAAGCCCAGCAATTCCCGTGAGTAATGTCTTATCAAGAAATGGTAACAGATAACAGAGCTTCAGAGGTGTTAGTATTCTGTAATTCGTCTAATTAGTTTATAGAAAGCTCTGAGAACACAGATTTACTTTTTCACATTAGTACAGTAAAACAAGTGAAAACTACCTGTGTGCTAGACAGTGTTTAACATGCTTAAAAACACACTACTCCTGCAGCACTCTCTAGTCATAGGCATAAATTTATCTCAACAGTCTAAACATACTTGAGATATCATGACTTTCTGCTTGTGTTGCCAATGCTGCAGTGAAAGGGAGAAACAGATGAATTGTACAGGTCAGTAAGAAGAATTTAAGATAGGAGAGGTGTCTTCGTAGTTGCCTGCCTTTTATGTGAATGGGACACTGGCCCACCTGCCCATGCTGCTCTCAGTTGTGACATAAGGCAGAGACAGACCAGCAAAAAAAAAAGAACGTAGCCATCAGAATATACAGTTTTTATAGCTTCTCAGTTACTTTCAGTGTATTACTCTCTCCTAGATTTGCAACTGAAGCACAAAACAATAGCGTGAGCAACCCAGCTGGACATTCATATAACAATGTGAGTAACACTCATGTTCAGAATAATCATTCTTTTGCTGGCAACTGTCAAAATGAGAACTGTTTGGATTTACCCTGACTACTGTCCAAATGGGATACAGAGATCTATTCTGTGGCCCTTCTCCATACATCAGGGAACGCTCTATGTTTGGTGACCAGGCCAACTTTCCTCTCTTGGTACCACAGATGCTAATGTGAAAGCAGATTTTCCTGGGTCCAGCACAATGTCTGGGGAGTTTGCAGAAAGCAGTTGCTGTGTTATTTGTGTTTAATCTGTTGCTGTGTGAAGCAAGATGAGATCTCCTCCTGCTGCCATTATGTTACTCTCATGTATTTTCTGTCTCAAATAAGATACCCAAACACCCCCCCACACCCAAAAAAACGCAAAAAAAAACCCACCAAAAACCAAACAACCCACCAAAAAAAACACACACTTAAAAATCAAGTACAGTGTAGGACAAAGAGCATATGCTGCAGATAAAACACCCACGACAGAAGGAATGCAAAGAATATGAAGGGGCTTTGAGGTAATGTTATAAATTTGAATGATATTCTGTAGTAAGCAGAATGAAATAGAAAAGATAAGTGGCCCCCAAACACACATGCATATTTCCTATTTTAAAATGAAGTAAAAGCAGGTATGTGCATTGTGAGTACTGTGGTCTTTGAGTCTGCGTAGTGTAACAAATTACACAGGAGTGAATTATACAAATGTGCTACAGATAACACATAAAGATGTTTGAACTTTGTGTGGAGAATGGAGATTAATTAGATTGGTAACTGTTGACCTTAGAATTTACCTGCTGTAGTCTGAGAGTCTAAAGATAAGTCAGCAGTCACATAAGTTAAATTAAACCAGTTGTTACGGAACAATCTGTTTACACACTGTTTTGCTTCATTTCCTTAGATGGCAACTCTTTTAAGCCCAGTGCCTCTGAACCCAGTAAATATGCAGACTGAACATGCTACGTCATTAAATGGACCGTCACTAGCAGGTAATAAATACTCTGCAGACCACCGAACTTTCATGGAGATACATTTTTCTTGTTAGAACTTAAGGCTTTACATAATGGCTGTTAAGACTAGGAGCAGCAACAAGCGTTGACAAAAATCTCATATTGCTCATGCTTTCTCTTGGACACGTCTGTCCATTTTAGCATTTAAAGCAACTAGATACACGGGAGAGGATCATAGAATGGTTAGAGTGGGAAGGGACCTCAAAGATCATCTAGTTCAACCCCCTTCCATGGGCAGGGACACCCTCCACTACACCAGGTTGCCGAAAGCCTCATCCAGCCTGGCCTTGAACACTTCCAGGGATGGGGCATCTACAGCTTCTCTGGGCAACCTGTGCCAGTGCCTCACCACCCTCTGAGTGAAAAATTTCTTCCTTATTTCTAATCTAAATCTCCCCTTTTTCAGTTTAAATCCATTGCCCCTTGTCCTGTCACTACACGCCCTTGTAAAAAGTCCCTCTTCTGCTTTTGGGAGGTAACACGCAGTAAGCACGCTTTTCACTTACGCTTCAATCTGGATTTATCTGTCTGTCTATTCTTCAGCTGCATCAAAGAACAAGTCACAGTCAAGTCATTACTATGAGATAATGGAATTTGATCCCTTGGCTCCCACTGAGTAAGTGACTTTTAAAATTGATAATATACAGTTGTCTTAGGTGCCAAAGGTGAAAAGGCTCCTGAGGTGGCTTTTTCTGAGTGAGATAACAGCCCACGCTATTTAGACTGCGTTAGCTGACCAACGGAATCGCTAACGTCAATGAGAGTGGCTGTGTTTTGTACGTTTTCTTCCAATATTTCTGGTGTAACCAATTGAGGAATCAACTCCTATAGCGTGTTCATTGAACGGCATCTGTGAAAACGGAGAAGTAATGCTGTGTCAGAAACAATCTACTAAAATCCTGTTCAGTAATATGAAAAAATGAAAAAAACATGGTAAGGATCCTTGTGGAGGAAGCTGATTGACACTTCAGGTAGTTCTAGAGCAAGGTAACCAATGTAATTTCTATTCACAGCAATTGTGATTTTTAAGAATACTGTTCTACGGCGTATCAAGAAAATCCTCAATTTAAATATAAACTACAAAAGGGAATGGATGCTGGGACTTTCCGGAGGGTCAAATCGTCAGACAGAAAACTAATAAGAAACTAAACAGATGGTAGAACTCTCATTGCTACTGGTAAATTGCAAAAAATTTGAGCTATGTACACAAAACTTATTTCTACCAAACTCTGAGGTAGAAAAATCTCCACAAAGCTTTATTTATTTTGGTGTATTTTTTAACCAGTGCAGTAATTGCATGCCACTTGCATTTTGCAGTCCTATTCCCAGACTTATTTCATCAAAAGTGATAATGTCCAGAGGTATCTCATTAAATGTATAATCACAGACACACCACAGGATTGGCTCTTTGTTTCCATGGAAACCTAGGCATCCTCCAAATGATGCTGCTCCATTAGGCAAACACTATAAACTTGGCAGTTCATGCTTGGGCAGGATTTCGTTGGTGCATTTTGTCATAATGAAACAACTGTGATGTAGGAGTCGCCCTGTTCCTCCTCTTTCAGAGCTGTTTATGAAGAAATCGATGTTGTGCTGAAGACAGAAGTTAAAAAGAGTACGGAATGCTGAAGGTGGAAGTGAAGTCTTTTGCTGAACACACATTATTCTCTGATGCGGGTCCTGTGCAGTGCTTCCTATAACGTACAAATGAATAACAGAATGGGGTTTGTATTTTGACATGACAAACAATAAGTATTGGAATACTCAGCCGTGTGGAAGTTGAAGAGTTCCTTGGACCTACACGTTCAACTGTGCATTCTTCAAAGTGACTTGCATGATTATTTTTAAAGTATTTTGGGGGCCTTTTAAAATACAATTTCCGAATTCACCTGCGTATGAAGTTAACACTTGATACAAGCAAACAAAAAGGGCTCTTGCAAGTATGGAAGAAAGCTTTTCTTCCAACTTAACTGTTCCTTTGTATTGCTTTACCCCTTTATGCGGCAAACCAAACAGATCCTTATGTTTACAGAAACTGCAGAATACAATTTCTAATTTGGCCTCATTGCTGTCTGTTTTAATCTCTCTAGAAAATTATAAACTGGGCATCTTGACAGACGTCTGAAGGCAGGTAGTGTTCCCTTCCTGCAGTCACTGTCGTGGTTTAACCCAGCTGGCCACCAGCCACCACGCAGCCACTTGCTCGCCCTCCCCCACCCTCAGTGGATGGGGAAGAGAATTGAAGAGGAAAAGGAAAGGAGATTCACGGGTTGAGATAAGAACAATTTAATAATGAATAAAAAAATAAGCAATAACGATAATAATAATATATACAAACGAGTGGTGCACAGTGCAGTTGCTCACCACCTGCTGCCCAGCGCCTGGCCCGGCCCCCACTAGTGATCCTCAAACTGAGAAGTCCCAAAACTGCAATCCTAAACTAGGAGTTGTGGGTCCGTTGCTCCAGCCATGCTCCCTCCCAGCTTGTTGCGCACCGGCACGCTGGCAAAACATGGGAAGCTGAAACGTCCTTGATTTTTCTCAGCAACAACTAAAAACATCAGTATATTGTCAACATTCGTTTCATACCAAACCCCATACTAAACCCAAAACGCAGCGCTTTTCTAAGGACTCAGGAGAAAACTAACTCTATCCCAGCCGAAACCAAGACAGTCATATTCTGAATACAGGTTGTTTTCTTCCTAAAAGCTGGCAATAGTTGGATTTTCGTCTTGTTAAGAACCTGAGCTGGGCCGTGAGGTGCTGTCATCCATGATTAGCAGAACAGAAAAAAACTGCTTGTTCCTGTGGTGGTGTTGTTGCTTTCATTTACTCGGTAAATATTGGAAGGGGATCAATCATTTCTTTCAATGTTCCTGCCCTGCAGAGATTGCTGTTCTGGTGAAGGAAAAAAATAATCATCTACAATGCAGATGAGCAATAGTTATCCATTTATTTTAGTCAAGTTGTTTAACCCTGTTAATAACTCAATCATTTCTTTCAATGTTCCTGCCCTGCAGAGATTGCTGTTCTGGTGAAGGAAAAAAATAATCATCTACAATGCAGATGAGCAATAGTTATAGTTTTAGCTTTAATTATTAAAGTGCCTTATCCCTTTTAATGGTGAATGTAAAATGCGCACTTTAACAGATAGAGTTCTCTGAATTTATAATTATAAAATTTGAGAACTTAGTTCATGTTCTTAGCTGATAAGCTAATTTTTTATGAAATACTGCATTTTAAATGTTCGTTAACTGTTCAAGTGATAAGAAGTTCTGTCAGTTATGCAATTATTGTAGCATAAAATTCCAAATAAAAGCAAATGCTTACTGAGAAGTTAACCCCCATCACTTCTGAGTTTTTACTGCATGGTGTGCGTATTACGTGAAATACCAAATGCAGGTAGTATTGGAAGTATTTTAGTGTGAATTTAGGAAGTATTTAGAAAGGAATTTAGACGTATTTAGAATCATAGAATGGTTAGGGCTGGAAGGGACCTTCAAAGGTCATCTAGTCCAACCTCCCTGCAACAAACAGGGATATCTCCAACTAGATCAGGTTGCTCAGGGCCTCGTCCAACCTGGCCTTGAATGTCTCCAGGGATGGAGCATCCACCACCTCTCTGGGCAACCTGTTCCAGTGTTCTACCACTGTCATGGTAAAAAACTTTTTCCTAATATCCAATCTGAATCTACCTCCCTCTTATTTTAAAACCATTACCCCTTGTCCTATCACAACAGGCCCTCCTGAACAGCCTCTCCCCATCTTTCTTGTAGGCCCCCCATTTAGGTGTTTCATTGCATGGTTAGCAATTATGCAGCTTGCTGTAGGACCATTTGTACACCTTACTTCTGTCAAAAGACAACCTCAAAGAAGTTTGGGGTTTTTTTTGTAAGCAGAGGTGATAAGGTAAGCTGCTTTATTATTATTATTCTTGTATTATTTGCAATGGTCTGGACAGCAACGTGAGAAAGCTGTGGAAATAGGATTTGAGGTGGATCAATTTTTCCCTATAGCTTAGTTGCACTGTTAACACCCTCGCACACTGAAGTGTAACAAATTAAAACAGGCTGTTTCAGTATGGGAATCCATAATGGATGATTGCTAACCAAACCTTGCCATGGATGAAGCAGCAAAATGGTCACAGAGAGAAGAAAGCTCTGAAGGGAACTGGCTAATTACTGTGAGGTTAGAGAGCTTGTTTTATAGTTGGAATGTGCTCAGTATCTGTGCAAACTTGAGCTTTCAATCTTCTGAGCACGTGCCCAGAATAAAGCAATGTGTGGAAAACTCCTGTAATCAGTTCAACTTTCAAAAAGACAATGAAAAAGACAACTAAAGACAACCCAGGTAAGAATTATTTTGTTTTCCTAGTCTGGATTTAAAGATTTGTCTTGACTTTTTTTTTCCTTTTTTTTTTTTTTTCTGAAGAATAACTGGCATTACAGATTAAGATGGCTTGCTGCTATCTTCATACAGATGTATTGCACTTGGGTGGGCTCCACATGCTCTGCTGGATAAAATGCATTAGAGAGACAAAAGAATGAAGTTTTAGAACTTTAATACACAGTGAAGACCTGACATGAATGTCATCCAGAATCTATTTAAATACCGCATATAATTGGTACAATAATGCATTTTAAAGGTAGCATCCATTTATTTCCAAAAAAGCACTTTTGAAAGTATGGACTGCAAACATAATTGAGACTAAAGTAACTGGATGTTATTTCTGATGTACTCATTACCTTTTTAGATTCCAAACAAACCAACATTAGTCTTGCTTTGTTAGATGTCATCTGCTGAAAGGGGTAGAAAGCACTGGCCTAGCAGATGAGATGCTGGGCTGAGATTAATTCCTGTCTGAAAATGAGTAGGTGGCCTGAACTTGCTCTGCAACTCCTTATTTGCAAAGCTATGATAAAGTGTTATTATCCCTACCCCACAGATAATGACCAAAAGTTACATAAATATAGGCTTGCGTGTTGTGATGGTAAACAAAGTAGCTAGGAGTACCTCTGAACAACTGGTGACGCTGCTGGGCAGGCTCTGTCGGAGGTAGCCTCTCAATGAGGTTGATCTCCTTTTGGTTTCTGAAGAGACTCCTACGCTATTAATTCATCCTGTGATTTAGAGCAGTTGTTTGTGTACTGCCTTTCCCTCCGAAGCGTTTTACACATAAGCCGAGCTTGTCTCTGCGTAGAGGTGCCCAGTATACAGCCCTCTGTGGAGCTGTACACTGGGCAGAGGAGCAGTCACAGCAGTACAAATTTTAAACTGGTTCAACTCGACATCGACTGGAAACCATACCACAGAATTGACATGCTTACATTTAAATTACTGTTCCTCATTCAAATCATAACAGTTTTAGAGCAGTCTGCTCTTACCAAATGAACTACTGATTCAGTAATAATTCGAGAGGGTGTATCATCTTCTGAATCATCATATCCTCCTGTGCCACGGGAAGGCTACACAGCAATACAGTCTAACTTTGTTTCATTTTGAGATTTCATGAACTGATTACCTGTGCTTACATTTTTATAAAGTAACCTACGTGGAAGTTATTCTTCAGAGCCAGCAATGCAATTTTAGATGCTTAATAAACTGATTTGTTCCTCTGTACTTAAATGAAGATTTCAATTCACACTTGGGTTTAAAAATTTGCCTCACAGTATTGAGATAACATGTATCATCTTATAAAAAGATAGCTTGAGAAAACCCTCTCTCATCCAGGAACAGTGTTGTCTGATGAAGAAATACTATTCCAAAGAAGTAACATTCCAACTACATAAGTTGGTGGTTTTGTTAAATAGAAATACGTCCTTTTATAACAGCAGCGTGTGTCCATGGTGGTTTAATAATATGATTTCATATTGCACAGTACTCCTGCCATTCTTCCTTCCATGGAAAAACAGTTTCAAAACTGGTAGTCAGGTAGCAGAAGTAAAACTGTGTAGGGATTGCCCATTACTGATATCCAGGAAGTGGTAACTTCAGTCCTTCCTTTGCTTCAAAAAAAGTGTAAGAGAGGGTGATCAAATCAACTTTAGCCATTTTAGGGTCCTCTGCAAATTCTGGATCAATGTAGAAAAAGACAGGCATGTCCACTTCCTCTTGAGGGTTTAGCCGCTGTTCTTCAAAACAAAAACACTGTATGGGGGAGGAAAAATACCCAACAATTAGACAACAATAGCTATGATAAACTTTATCTCTGCCAACATGACAAAGTATCTTTTAAAACTCAACTCTCATTCCCTGCACATCCCTAAAATTTTGGCAAGTATCAACCACATGAGCAACATGACAGCAATTCTGTTCCTCTTATGTTACAGGGGGGGCAAAACTCCCCTTTTAACATAGTGTCCAAATGTGCAAACTGGCCAGGCTGGCTCACACTGTACCACCTGCCCTCAGAGTCTCTTTCAATATGGTAATCTAAGTAGTGTGTATTTCAGAGCCACTCTAATCGGACATGTAGTGGAGCTTGTTATGAAGACAGTAATACTAAGGATGAAATGATGCAGTCATTTGAAAAAAGCAAGGTATTTTCTCAAAATGTTGGCATACAAAGAATGGTAGCCAGGGTTAAAATTAGAAAAGCTAATTAATGGCTAACTATTCTCATTCATGTAAAGGAAAATGTAATCTTTGGTTTATTCACACTTACTTGTATTTTATTGAAATACTGTCCTGCTTCAAAGGGTATTACGTTGTAGGTAGAGATTCCAATTATTGGTTTGTCAGTAGGGTTTTTCGCTTTATAAAAGGCCAGTGCTGTCTCTCCTGGTACCACCTGTATAAAGTAATCATACGGTGATTCCGAATCCACTGCAGCCTTCCACCCCTCAGAGTTGTTTAGACTTTAGCTAGAATGAGTTCATTTTCTCTTTTGCTGTTTCAAGCTGGTTACTTCATACGTCACAAGTATTTTACTTATAGACAATTCACCCCTATTCAAAATTAAATGCACTAATAATGTTATATGTGTGCGTTTTTAATCTTACCCAGTTTGCCAGAGACTTCGATTATACTCAGCAGTTTAGCAGCACACAGAGATCTTTTGATATGCAGATTTATATATGGTGTACACTTCATTCTTTCAATACTGGACTCAGAAACTAAGAAGCATGACAGACTCCTTTTGAGAGGTTCTATTAAGAACTAATTTAAAACAGTAAAGTTAGACTGAAATGTTCACTTTTTAAAACATAAAAAGTCCTATAATAGGGGATATAAGAGAAAGTACTAGGGGGGAAGTCTGGCAAAACCCCCCAGATTTAGATATACTGCTATACCAGATATTATTTTTTTAATCTATATATACACACACACTTTATGGTGTATCTACCATACAGTGTACATGTAAATATACTGTTGATAGCAATCCTTTTTTTGTTAGCGTGATGGGAAGGTGGAGGAGTAACTACGCTTTAACTACGACCCCAGAGGCACTAAAAGTCCTGCCCTCTGGCAGAAGCAGACACCAGCCCTGCCTTCCTGACCAGCACCGAATACAACGTTCCGAACTGGAAGCAGCCCGGACGAGCGTGGCTCGAGCTGGGTGCTTTTCCCGATCAGGGCCCAGACAGGCAAACCAACGGATGTGCGGGATCGGTGAGGAAAACGCAGGCGGCGGAAGTGCCGCTGTGGGCTCCCGGCGCAGGCGGCTCGGGGGTGGCAGGCGGTCACTCACGAAGATCTCGCTCTGCTGCGGTTTGAAGTTCCACTGGATGCTGGAGTGCACGTCGGCGTTGAAGGTGACCCTGATGACCCGCTCCCTCACCGGCTCCATGCTCTCGACCCGCTCCGCGCTGCGGCCCGCGGTCCCGCCCAGGCCCGTCGCCTGGCAAAGGAACGGCAGTGAGTGCCCGGCGCCCCGCTCCCGCTCCTGCTCCGCGGGCGGGACGGCGCGGCCGCGCCGCGGG